ATTTGGGTATTGGTTGCTTTCGTTTTAGACAATGGAGATTGTTTTCTCTAGTTTTTCTCTGTCGGAGTGTTGTATCATTGATCTTTTTCAGCTATTATGATTGTAATATGAATGGATCCAGATGGTGATTTCTCGTAAACATCTATTGCAACTCTTGTTGAAGACCTGATGTAGTTGTTGTACAGCTATTGTCCTGTTGTTAGTTGAGTTGAATCTCCTGCTCCCGCCTCCAGTTTCCCCTCCTTCCAACAACTCTCTTACCACACCCCTGGACCTTCCCACACTGCCAAGTAATTCAAGGTTAATATCATCATAAGTCTCACTATTAAGCATCACAACCAAGAAAGCTGCAAGCCATACCTCTCATTGAAATCATGTTAAAAATTTATATCAACACACAAACAATATGATTTACCTTACCTATAAATTCAAGTCATAAGATCCTATAACAAGCCTTCCTTTAATAGAAGTTCCACCTATTTGCAAAGTTGATTCCAACTTTAAAAGTTCACCATGACATTTTCATGAGTGCTTCCTATCCGAATGGAGCATAAACCTCATAAACATCAGCATTCTTAAGTTGTATACGTCCCACATACATCTCGAGCTAGGCTGAAATTCTATGGGTCCCATGAACATCATTGAGGCAAGGATATAACCTTAGATGCCCTACTTCTTTGGCCACTCTATATCCAAATTAATAAACTCTGAATATTCTACTGATGGAACTCATTTGCCAAAATAAATATCATTCACCAAAAACATCAATTTACTCTATGCTCAAGTCGCCGGTCAACTTCAGATAACTCCAGGCCCTTTGAACAAGGCAACCCATGAGTATGACAATCAGCCCATTTGATGTGGGGCTTCCCCCGCATGGACACGGGATGCGGGAGCAAGGCTTCCCGCACTGATGCAGGACTCCGTGTTCTCCCGCATCTGAACCCGACCGATCTGTTGAAGACCAGTCCATGGGAATCCTAGGCCGAGCGGCCCGAGGGAGACTCCTAATGGGACGAGCGGCCTCCCGCGCCCCTCTTATCCTTCCTTTTCTGCTTTTAGTATGGGTTGTTGTATTTTTATTGTACGGTTTAGTTTTTATTGTATGTTGATTTCAGATTCCTATATGGGTTCCTTTTCCCCTTTGTGGGTTATATCCGAGAAAGTTGTGATGCTCCATCTGTATCCTACTCCAAGATGGTGTGTATTTTCCACCCTTTTGGCTTATCCAGTCCTCCTTGTCCTTCCCCATAGCCATCGGTCACTCCTAATCCCCTTCCCAGCCTCTGCCTCTCCATCTCCTGCATTTACATTGTTGTCCAGCACCTTCCAGCCATCCCTCCACCTATCGTGGGTCACCTACGACCCTCCATACTTGTTGTCCCTATAATTCTGCACCTCCCCCTCGCTTCCATCAGCATTCCTTGGTTGCCACCACCATTGCCAACCATCCTAATCAACCTTTCTTGTGTTGTGTATGTCGGTGATACTAATTTTTGTTGTGTTGTGTTGTAAACTTATTTACTTATTAATAAAAGTGTGTCTTTGTATTTCTGTTGTTTTCCCTACCAGTTATGGTATGACCTTTACCTTTAATTTAACTTATGCACTGTTTAGCTTTTCAAAAAAAGCAACCACAATTATATTTCGCTATACTTATTATTTTCTAGTTTTAATTTTTTGTCACAGGAAGCAACTTTTTAGAACTAAATCTACAATAATATGTTAGCCATAAAAGAGCTGTTCAAATTTCCAAGTAATTTTCTAATACCGACAACAACTGCAAAAAATAGCCATTTTACACAATTTTTGTAATAATAATTTGCTAAAATAATAACAATAATAACAATAACAATAAATTAATTAATTAACCAAATAAATTTTTAAAAAAAATTCTCTTCATGGCACATGCAAGCAGGTGTCGTTCGAAGCAGCCCACCACCCATGGGAGAGTTAAAGAACGAGAATTATTTATCATCTCAACTTATTCGAACGCAACGAGAGAAGGGAAGAAAGGAAGCAAGAGGGATATCAAGAGCCGTTAGAGAGACAGAGAGAGTGAGGCAGAGGAAGACAAAGAAGAAGAAAGGAGGAGACGAGCGGCTCATCTGGTGTGTCATTTCCTTCCAATTTCTTGATTGAACATAAGGGAATAGAGCTCGAGCTGCTCTATCGAGTGTCGCGAGCAGCAAAGGGAGGAAGAAGGGGAGCTCAATTGGGTACCTGGAGTGCTCAAAAGGCTCATCTGAGTCTTCCTCTTGTGCAATTGACACTTTTGGCAGTCGTGCTTACACAAAAATAAGAAGACCAATGGGCATGCAGCTCTTCTCTTGCCGTGTGAACTTCCTGTGCCTTAACCGATCAGGAGGGGTAGGGTTCGAGTGCCATGTAGGAAGATTCTACAAAGCGAAAGATGAAGAAAGAAGAGGAGGAAGACGTTTGTGAAGATTTCAATCGAACCTCATGTGCTCGGTTCGAATAGCTTAGGGCAAGACGAAGGTTGGCAAGGAAAGCTACTAAATTATTTTAAATTACTAAATTGTACTTAAATAAAATGAAATTACATGAACTTTATATTAAACTGATGTCAATTTTGTTAATAATTGTTTAAAGGTAATCGGTAAGAAAACTAAAGCAGAATTTCAGGTATGAAGACTTATTTAAAGAAAATTCTAAAAATGTTATCTAATTAGAATGTGGAAAGTTAGTTTAATTTAATTGTGATATATATTAACAATTAGTAAAATAAATTGATGAAGTAGTTAATATTTAAAAATATGGATCAATTAAGTACGCTTTAGAAATACCAATGTATTTCTATATATATATAGTAAATTATTCATCTTAAATCTAACATAAATACTTGAACACCCACACATATAATTAATCTAATTGAATTGCTAATTGGTATTTCATAAACGTACTTAATTGATACATACATATATATCATAAAGGCTAATCAAAATCAATGTGTTGCTATTGTGCACTCAAAAGCCTAGATTAATTGAGGAAATAAACAACAAACTTCTAACTAAATCATATGAGCAGGTAAAATTTTTTATTGTACAATAGTTTTGTTTATGTTTGAAAGCAATATTATATGTTTTACTCTTTTCAGCATTTATTTAAAAAAATCAAAAGTTCATGATTTTCTTTTAAATTTTAAATGCAAGAAAAAGAATCAAAATAAGATATATGCATACATATGGGAGTCACCCTGAGTGATATTGGTAGGGAATATGATGTACACATACACGAAAATAAAATAAAAATGAAAATGGAAATAAGAAATGATTATCTACCTTTATAGTGGGTTGAAAATGGTTAAACATATATTTTTTAAAACATGTATATATGTTTAAAGGTTACTCCCAAAAATGAAAAGCGTAAAATAAATAAATGAAAGTAAATAAAAAATATTTTCTTTTACTGCACAGCCTTTTACTATTTACTACATTTTTACAAAAATATATTAAAATAAAAATTATTGTAATTTAGAAACATTTTTCCACCAAGTAGTTGTAACTCAAATTTTAATTGTTAACATTACATAGAAAAACAAGCTCTAGACTAGATGGATCCCAGGGAGTGGGTACATGCGTCATGGAGCGCAAGTTGATGTATATCTTTGTTTAGTTTTATTTTTTGTTAGATGTAATGATTTTAATATGAATAAATTGTTATAATTATGAGTTTTATAAAATAAAATGGCTCTTTTGAGCTTTAGATTTAATTTTTGTTGAAAAATGAAACTGTGAGATGGTTCTCCTCTGTCCGATTTATAGTTCCCGCTTTGATAATTCCAAGCTCCATGGCCAGGTCGTAACAATTTTGTTGTACCTACTTTCACAGATAATCTCCAAATGGGTCTTAAGAGAGATGTTATTGTTATTCTATGTATGATGTTTTCTTGTTATAGATATGAAAATTTTGATAGTTTCTATTAGTATCACTACATTATAAATGCATTAAGTAAGAGTTTATGAGAATTAGAGCAACTTTTTTTGAGAAATTTGCATACATACCACACAATTCTTATATATTAACATATCTAACTCCTTAAGTTTGATATTAACACTTATAATGCTTTGATGTCCTAAACTTATGCATGAAAAGGTGCATTTCACTTTTAAAAAGTTACTAATGCTGGTGCTTTTTTATGTGATGTTGAAGTTCTAAGTGTTATACATGTAAATATGAAAGTTTAGGTGTAAGATATGTAAATACATAATTATGTGGCATGTACGTAAATGCCCCCCATTTTTTAACAGTGCTTCCAAAATTGTTGTTTGGAGTCTTCTATAAAACTTGGTTTTGCATTTATTTTTCATCTAGTAGAATAAAATTATCCAATGCCCAACTAATTCCATTATATGTTTGTTAGTTGATTTAATTGTATGTGAAACAAATGAAAGAGTTTTCACCTGCATTATTGATGTGTTGTTTAGCTCCATCCACTTTGAGATTCTCTAATTAATTAATCATGTCGTACCAACAGAAAAAATAAAAAAATTCACAATCGAAATTGCTCGTCAACATCAAGTTTTGCGGCCTATGCTATTTCCTCTTTAGTGCAGCACTGCAGCTAATAAAAGTGGTATTTAAAACAATTCTTATTCCATCAATAAATGAACTTTTGGATATTATCTTTCGACTAAACTGTTCTCTGCTATTCTTTTCCGTCCAAAATTTTATTTAAAATATTGTACAGGCTTTTACTACTACATCAACATTTGATGAACTTATATGCATACATTCAGGAAGGTAGGATCAAAATATTCAGATAGAGAAGCCTGCCTGGCTGGGACAATGGAGAGAACAAGAAAATTCACTGAAGCAATATTATTAACCAACAAAATAATTTTATCAAAGAATCTTTTAAATCAACCAAAAGCTAAGAAAATGGCTTGAAGAAAACTGCCATTCACAAATCCTGCTAACAATTACGAAAGAAAGAAGATTGGTTAAGAATGATACAATTTAGCCCAAATTTTACCAACCTCAAAACCCGCATCAAAGGGAAGGCGTGCAGCAATTTCTTTAGTATCACCACTAAAATAGCGTCCAGAGCTGTAGTTTACCTGCCAAGAAAGAAATACATACAAGGATTTCATGAAATTATATTAACAAATCATATCAACTAGTAAGACAAAGGAACACTGAAGCTACGACAGATAACTTACATCACTTGCATTTACTCCAGCATAGATGATTTTGACAAGAGCATGCTCCGGTTTAATTGGTAAACTCAATTGTGTGCGCACAATTTTAGTGGCTGACCGGAAATCATGACTAAGAGTATGAACAACACTAATTCCAAAGAAAAATAATTTAATATGTTCCGAAGTAATGGAGAAACAAAAAACAAAAAGACTGGTAATAGATTGGTCACATATGATGAAGGGAAAAAAGCAGTAACTTCATGCATACAGCTTAGATTTAGAGAACACCAAATTGGCCACAAATAACTTTCATTTAATGGCTCAACGATCGATAATGAAACAATCACACGTCATGAATCCCTATTAATAGAAATATCATTATGAAGACAAAGACAAACAATTAAATATTAATTTAATTCCATATAATATTCACGAACATTCAAATCCAAACCAATTCTTATTTAAAAGAACAAAAAAGAAAAAGAATAATTCAATTTGTTAAAAAGGAATTCATCCATTAATAAAAATGAACATAAAAAAGGCCTTGAAATGGGACCGGTTCATAGATGCTACGAACAAATTTGATTTCTTGTATTTGTCTTCTCCATATTTTTTACTGATTTGGCTTATTTAAAGGTTGTCCTGCAAGAAATATATGTTTTAAGTTCATATGCATGACATATTTGAACCATTTTCCCCCACAAATATAGTATTACAAGTCAAATTTTCAGTTTAAATCATCACAAATATACATAAGGATGATTTATTGGTACATTTAATTTTCATTTCATACAAGTACACTTAGATTCCTATTAGCCATAGTGATGGAGATTAGCATGTTTATGTTTGTCTGAAACATCAAGCAATTAGGGGTCCGTTTGGCGCAACTTATCCCAGCGTTCGGCGTTTTCGTAACGTTGCGGAGCCGTTTGGTTAGTGCGTTGGTCACGACGGTCGGGGAACGCGCGTATGATTTTAAGTTATAACACGAAGGATTTACAGCAGCACCCTTTATCCCGCGTTCCGTCGCAACTTAATTACTCCTGAGCCCCTCGATCCCATCTCCGTTCTCACATCGTTGCCCTAGCTCTGCGATCAACCTCCCCTGTCTCGGCCCTCAATCTCGTGTACTGGGATGAGTTGGGCAATGCTATTACTGGGATGTCTCGGCCCTCAATCTCGTGTACCCCTACCCTCTCCCATTTCCCATCTGGCCTGTATTATCAAGAAGCATTCCCTCTGAAATTTGTGTCTGTAGCTCGTGAACAGGTCGTCTGAAATTTCGCAGGTATCCCTCTTATGCCTTATGGTTTTGCACAGCTCGGCTTCCATGTATGGATTAGGCAGTCGGATGAGGTGAATTTTATTTTGATCTTTGTTATATGGCTTCTATCTCTACTCTCATTGACCATCATACATCCACCGTTCCTGTGCATAGTTGGGCAATACTGAAAGATACTTCATTGAAAGACTTGAGAGTGTTTTAACTTAGAAATTCTATTTAATTGTAGAGAAATTTTATTTAGGTGTGGTTGCCTGTGATGGTATAGGGGTGATGGAATTATGGTGTGTTGGGCAATGCTATTACTGGGATGAGTTGGGCAATGCTATTACTGGGATGAAATTTTGGATCCTTCGTGTTACTGGGCTTTCTTCGTGCGATTTGTGTTACTGAGGCTCTGAAAAATATATTTCCTTTGGGATGTTTTCTACATGCCAGTTTTTGGAGTGTGGTTGCCTGTGATGGTTTAGGGGTGATGGAATTATGGTTGGGATTTATGTGCTTGAGTTCGCCAATTACTTTATTCCTGCTCTTTTTTTTTTTAGGCAGCATCCAACATTCATGCAGATTTGGGAGCACATGTTCCTCAACCTAGCTTTAAAATTCCAAGCAATTTCTTGACATTAATGAAGCATGAATGTCAAGCATAGTTATGTTACAAGTGAAAATGAATTGGTTGTGACTTTTCTACATTTGTTTTTTTTTTTTCATTTTCTTGGGGGCAAAAGTGCTGCTAGTGGAAAACAATATACAAGAGAAGAGTTTTTTAAATTGCATTTACGTGTATGCCATGCAATTCTTATGTTTTTACATATGTAACAGTTATATTTTGGTTATTTATGCTTATACCATCCAAATATTCTGCATCACATTAATAATGACACTTCTTTGTAGATGTTTCTTCTGGTTTTCTTTGAACAGAAGCAGGGTTGCACTTCAGTATTAGCTCAATACAGCACACATTTAATCATTTTTAAAATGATAAGAAGCAGAAAGTCATTATTATTTTTTTATTAAAAGCCCAAGGCAAATTTATTGAACAGAAAAGAGTACAGATAGGTTGTATGAGTGCACCCAAAAAGACACCCAACTCATACGGTACAACACACACAAAAGGAAAAGAAAAGAAACTTAAAACCCAAAAGTAGGTGGTACATATAAGATCAATCAGGTCGACCCATTTTAGTTCTGCCTCTGTCTCTAGTTCTCGGAAAGTAAAAAGCTAACAGATTGGTGAGGTGTGTACCATTGCCCGAAGTAACCAGAGTATCATCCATTAGATTCCTTAGCTAAAGTATATCTCAATTCTTCTTCTTCCTCCTAGAAGTGTAGACCTGTCATTCCTCATCCGAAGATTGCTGCTCATTCGGATGAGGTGGTAGTGTTGCAGTAGAAAGATTGCCAACAGTTGTACCCGCAAGTGTATGTGAGGTAAGAGTTGTCACCTCTACCTCTGATACTTCCTGAAGATGGGGAGTTGCAAGGTTCTCCTGATTATCAGTCCGTGCAGGTAGGAGTCCATAATTTTTTCAAGAGAATTTGAAAGTGTAGGTTGCTCAGCAGGGCCATCCAGCTTCTCATCGATCGCAGAAACAGTATTTTCAGGGGAAGGGTCCACAGGGGAAATAGAATCAGACACCAAATCTTGTCCTGTTGTAGTTTTCTCTCCAGGTGAAACAAATATATCCTTAGATTCATCCTTATTCATTTGATCTTTAAATTTCAAATTAGAATGAAGCTTATGACATTTATCAAGATTATTCCCAAACATCTTACAATGAGAACAATAAGGAGGTCTATGCTCCATGGCGATTTATTGACAATATCCATTATGCATTGTGCCCAACCAGACTTCAGTAACATCAGACAAAGTAATATCTTTTTCCACAAGTATTTTGGCCACAGAATGTCTGGTAAGGTTGAAAGTTGGTATATCTAGCTTCATATGGTCCCCCAGTATGACACCTATAGAGTAAAGAACCTGATGATGAAAAAAGTGCAGTTTGAGACTAGGTAGACTAAATCATACCAGTACAGTAAGAGGTTCATGATTGGGGTCAAAACTAGGAGACCACTTGACTAGCTTCATTGGTTTGCCAGTAATGTTAAGATATTTTTTGGAGAAAATCCGAGTGTAGTCTTCAGGCATGGTTAACTGAATCAAAGCATATCTCTCATCCATGATCTCCCATCCATGAGCCCCACTTTCTACTTTCCTATTAATTTGAGGTAATCAAAATTTTTTCTGATAACTTCCATAGGTGGGTGTTCCCACTGAAATTTCTCAATAATAGCATACTTGTTGTCAATCAGGGTTGAAATTTCTGACTCAGAGAAAAAGAGTGTTGTCTTCTCATTTTTCCTGCTTGCATCTTAATAAAAGAGCAGTCACCTGTACTTTCACAATTTTCCTTATAACTTGAGAGGAAGACAACCGTCGTCTCCCCCTGAGGATTACCCACCACGTGAACAAAGGAGGTTTTGTCAGGTTCAACCGAAGAATGAAGCTCCATCAAAGCAAGGAGAAGCCCTGCAAGTCGGGCAAAGGGCAGAAAAGACAAGTCGAAGAGGTAGGGGCGAAGCTGCGCAGAAGACAGGAAACCACAATGACGAATGCGCAGAGACGAAGTCGCAGCTCGACAGAAAAACCGAAGCTCAACGAGGCAAAGGTGACACCGCAGCAGGAAGACGAAACCACAGCAATCCTACTAACCGCAGCTCGACAGACACGAAACCGCAGCAGGAAGAGGCTGAGGCCCTTTGTCGTTGGGCGTGAAAGAGAAGAGGACGATCACAAAGGAGATTGACGAGCGCAAGTCCTTCGTAGTCTTCGTCGAATACAAGAACTTCGTCGTCGAGCACGAGAGGGAGGATTGGGGTGGATTGAAAGCCGAATTGAATCAGGATTTCGCCATCAGAAAGACACCAGCAGAAAGTCATTATTAACAGTGAAATGAATGCCACTTTATTTCCTTGAGGGAGATGGGTTAAATTATTGAACTCTTCCCATGCAAAATATATAGTACAATAACGTTGTACTCATCCATTTATTCAGTAAAACACCATTTTTAAAATTATAGAAATGTAAATATATAAGAATTGGATGGTATGTAAGTAAATTCAATGTTTGCTGTTCTTATATTTGACAGACTCGTGACATCCAATTTTCTGTAACAATTTCTGCTGATTTAATTGTTAGAGTATTACTATTGAGGGGCTGGAGTTCACTTCAATAACCAAATATGAAGCACCTATTATTTTCTTCTCTCACTGCTTCACCATTATCATTAAAATGAAGATAAAATTACATACATAGCACACAATTCTTATGTATTTACATATCTAACACCTAAACTTTCTTTTTTACATACAGAGCTCTTAGGTGTTTTAAAACTAAGCATGAAAAGCTGTATTTCACTTTGAAATGACAGGTTGTCTTCTATGCTTGTACTAGGGGAACTCTGACTCTAGTTCTGTATAATCCAAGCCTGTCCAAACACTTCTTATCAACTCACACAAGTCATTCTCTCATTGCATCTCTCTCTTTCATTTTGAGATAGAGTAAGTGCATTTTAAAATTACCGACACTTTAAGCAATCCTTTTTTAAAAAATAGTTAGCAGTTTAGTGATTTCATTATGGTTGTTACATTTTGAACCGGTTTTTATATTATTGTATCCAATGCTTGTCTTTTTCATCATTGTTGTAAAATTTGATGAAATTGGGTTGTGGAATAGTTGTGTTAAGCTCAACACCGTCATATTAACAAAAGATGTTGCCAGTTCTTGTATTTTCATTTGAAACAATTTCTTGTTCATGTATAGTTTGTTTAGTTTGAGATACTGCAAAATTACAATATACTGTGTT